TCACAACCAAACTTTCGGGAGTTAAAGACAAAGAGAGTCAAGAAGAGATACACAATTCATTACGTACAAACAGCACTTAAGGATGACAGCTTATTTTTCATCAGGTATCATGGAAGCTAGAAGGAAGTGGGATGAACCATTCTGGTTTTTTTTTCCTAATCATTTTATTAGGGGCTCATACAACTCTTATCACAATCCATACATACATCAATTGTGTAAAGCGCATTTGTACATTCACTGCCCTCATCATTCTCAAAACATTTGCTCTCCACTTAAGCCCCCCGGCATTAGGTCCTCATTTTTCCCCTCCCTCCCCGCTCCCCACTCCCTCATGAACCCTTGGTAATTTATAAATTATTAGTCTGTCATATCTTGCCCTGTCCGACATCTCCCTTCACCCACTCTTCTGTTGTCTGTCCCCCAGGGAGGAGGTCACATATAGTTCCTTGTAATCGGTTCCCTCTTTCCAACCCACTCTCCCTCTACCCTCCTTGTTTCGCCACTCACACCACTGGTCCTGTAGGGATCATCTGATCTGGATTCCCTGTGTTTCCAGTTCCTATCTGTACCCGTGTACATCCTCTGGTCTAGCCAGACTTATGAGGTGGAATTCGGATCATGATAGTGGAAGCGGGGAGGAAACATTTAAGAACTAGAGGAAAGTCGTATTTTTCATCGTTGCTACATCGCACCCTGACTGGCTCGTCTCCTCCCCAAGAGCCCCCTGCAAGGGGATCTCCAGTGGCCTACTCATGGGCTTTGGGTCTCCACTCCGCACTGAAAAAGATTGTCAGTTAAGATTTCTACATCCACCAAGTAGTTACCCTTCAGAAATTAAGGTAGAAGACATTAAGATAGTCCCTGTTAAACAAAAACTTGGAGAAACTGCCACTAAAACACTTACCCTACAAGAAATACTAAACTTTAAATTAAAAGACAATATACTCAAGTCCACATAAACAAATAATGAGCACGGGTAAAGGCAATGCGATAGGCCTCACATGTATTTTATTTCGTCTTATCCATACGTACATTAAAAAAAGAGTGTAATTGAGCAGAGACAGAAATAAGAGGGCAAATTTTTTCGACTATTGTTATTGCCAGCATTCCTTCTCATTAAATTTCCTGATGTTCCAAGCCAAATCAAACTCGCTGCCCGGTACCAGGTCAACGCTGTGTTGCGGGTTTCTGAGGCTGTACTGTTTACTTGAGTAGAAAGCCCAGCCTTTCTCTAGAGTAGCTGCTGGGGGTTTCGAGCTGCCTACCACGGCATTGCAGTCCTACCGGTAACCACCACACCACCAGGGCTCACACAGTGCTACTTAAAGGTTAAATAATTTTGAATACTTTCTCAAACTACATGCAGTCCTCATCCACTGACATGCCACTTTGGAACAACTTTCACTGCTGGAGTGACACAATGGCTGCAACAGCGGGCTCAACCCTAACAGTGGTGAGGGCAGCGTAGGTGAAGAGTGGTGTTTCACCCTGTTGTACACAGGCCCACTACGAGGCGGTGCCAACTTGATGAACCCTAGTAATCCCCATTTGTCGGTTGTTGTATTTTATCTCTCTGGGGAGACAATTTACCATGTGTCGTCCTTATGGGTAGACTGTAACATCATGTAACATCCTTATTTTTTAAATTTAATTATTACATTTAATAGACTTTCCACTTAAAAAAAATAGCCAAGATAGGAGTCATTTTCTCCTACAGTTCTGTATTAAAATGAGTTACAGTG